GGGGGTGGTCAGCATCGCAAAGCAGGCAGAGGAGGAGCAGGGGTTGCGCCAGCAAAGGCTCGGATCCAGCGGCCCCCCCCCCCCCCACCCCCCGAGCTGGCGACAGGGCCTCTCGTGTGCTGGCCGGTGTGAGCGTGACGGGGGCAGCCCGCAACGCGCCAGCACCCCACCATCAATGAGGCAGCCTGCTCGACACCACATCCCCCTCCCGCCCAAATCCTCGTCTGCCGTGCGTACGTGTGAGGGGGTTGTTGGCGGCGCCCTGGAGGCCGTCCAGGGTGTCAACCGCCGCTGAGATGGCGTCCAGGGAGGAGGCCCAGGCGCCGCCATAGCCGGGGGCTGCGGCCAGCAGGGAGGTGCTGAAGGCCGCGACGGCCGCGTTGGCCGTGGTGGGGCTGCGGGCACGCGGGGCCGCGGGGTGGGTGGTGTCGTGGGGACGGGCTAGGGCAGGGCGCAGCGCGCAGTGTGATGCTGTGCACAATCGGTGCGTGAGTTGGGTTCAGTGTCAATTGCAGTGCGATTGTATTAGCAAGTCAATCGGGCTGGCAATGACGGATGCGGAAAGTTGCAAGCCGAGGTCTCCAACCGCACTACATCAAATCATTACGGCCAAAGCCAACCGGCTGCACAACCACCCCTCTCCTCCCCGGCCCCCTATCCGCCCGCACGTCCCCCTCCCAGCCCCCCCCCCAAAAAACCCTGCGCACTTGCTGCCTGATGCGGGTATGGGGGCCGCGATCTTGGCGTCAAGGTCCGCCAGGGCGGCCGTCATCGCGGCCGCAGACGCCTGCGCGCCCGCCACCGTCCCCAGCGCCGTCCCCAGCGCGTTGCCGGGCGCGACGCCCACGAGGCTGGCGCTGAGGGCGGCCAGGGCGCTGGGCAGGTTGGTGGTGACGCGCGTGTCGAGGGTCGTGATCGCCGCGGCCAGCGTCGCAGGCGGCGTGACGGTCGTCAGGAACGACTTGACGGTCTGAGAAGAACAGCAGCGGGGGAGGGGGTGAGGCGTGCTGTGCACGGACGAGGTGCAAAACGTATGTGAGCGCCTCAGGAGCGGCGAGGCGGCTGCTGCTTGCGTGGGTCGGCGCTCCGCGCCTCATGGCCAAGGTAAAAGCCGGCTGCAAGTGCCCCCTCCGCCATGCGGGGCCGCATCCTTGCGGCCGCCACCCATCATGGTGTTCCATGTCCGCGCTGGTGGGTGCGCGTCGCCAGGTCGGCTGACCCAGGCACCCCGCCCCTGCGTTCCTGCCGCCCCTCCTGCCCTCTGCTGACGGCCCGCCCACCGTGATGTTGGCCTCAATCCCGGGGACGTCGACGTCGTTGGTGACTATGGCCTGGAGGTCATCGATGATGGGGTTGACGCCCGCCACGGCCGCCACCAGATCATCCAGGTGGCCCGCGGTGCGCTGAGGAAGGGGGGGGAGTGGAAGGGGGTAGGGGGAAAGGGTTAAGCGCGGTTGGAGGTGAGGGCCAATGTGGGTTTGGGAGGCGTGTCACGACGGCATCGATGATGAGTTACCATCATGCCATGGTGGACCAGGGAAAGGCGGTCGGAGGGGGAGGGAAGCACCGCGGAGCCGAGCGGATGGCCTCTCGATGTGCCAGAGGGGTCGAGGCAGAAAGGGGGTGCGCGGCTGGCCCTGTGAGGGCGGCGTGGGTGCCCCGTGCTCACCGTGAGGTACGTGTCCAGGTTGCTGAGGGTGGTGAAGGCGTCGCTGACGACGGTCTTGGAGGTGCCCGCCATGCCGTAAATGTAGAGCTCTATGGCGGCCTGGAGGGGGCGGGGCCGGGAGCGGAATACTTCAGGTGAACAAAGACAAGGGGTTGCGGCCGCCCGAGGGGTGATGATCGTGAGCGAGTCTGGGTGTGTGCATATCCACATGTGTTTGAGCGAGGTTCAGGGACACACATGCAGGGAGGGGTCACCGCCATCAAGCGCGTGGGCCGTTGACGCAGCGTCAGTCTCTGGGGGGGGGGGCGGGCGGCGTATGCTCCGACTGGACCTCACCAGGCCGGTCAGGAACATCAACACCTGATGGGGGAGCGGGAGCAGTGCGGGCACAGGCACGGCCAAACCCAGTCAGCAGAGCGGCAGTCGCGACTGCCGGTGGCGCACGCGGAGCACCCCTATCTCCTGCATGTGACCGGCGGTGGCAAGCCACCCGCTGTTGCCCCACCGGCCGCCCCTGTCAAGCGGCGCACAGGCGCCTATCGTGCCCCCGGCCCACCACAAGTCCCTGGGAACATAACATCAGCGCCCCCCCACCGGGTGCGTACCTTGTGCACGGTCATGCGCTGCGTGAACAGCAGCTCGTAGGGGTCGTTCTTCAGGCGCCGCGTGTCGCAGGACGAGGAGCAGCACAGGACGTAGCAGCACCACCGGGAAAAGCGCCTGCGCGCGCGCCGGCGGTGGTGCGGCCGTCAGAGAGCGCGAGGACGGCGTGCGTCTCTCCTGCAGTGTGAAACGCGTTCAGCTGATGCTCTGCGCGCCCGCGGCATTCCTTGATCGCGCTTGAAAATAGTACGCACGGGCCGGACCGGACCGGCAGGCACGTGCACACGCGGCCTGGCCTCAGGACCCGCCTGCTGGCGACAGGCCAGGCCCCCTTGGGGGTCTTGCCAAGGCCCGGCACCAAGGTGCCGTGCACTCAAACGGCGCCACCCAGCCCGTGCCGCCTCCCGACAACGTCATGCATGCCGCCTGCTCCGTTCCCCCTGCGGCTGGCGGGCCCACCAGAGGAGGAAGATGAGGAGGAACAGCAGGGACAGCGCAAAGAAGAACACATTGGCGCCGATCTTGGGCACGATGTCCGTCTTGAGGTACGACACGCCGGCGGTGACGAGGTCCCCGCCACCGGTGGCGGTGTCAACGAGGGTCACGATGGTCGCGGTGCTGGCGTGGCTCCTGAGGAAGGGCAGCGACTGGAAGCAGCGAGGGTAGGCATGTGGGCAGACCACAGGCGCTCTGGCGTGGATGCCTTGCCCATTCTGGTGCACGGCGCATGCAAGTCCATACATATGAGATACATTGGAGTGCAGTCAAGATGTTCAAATTATGCTTCAAAACATTGCAAGAGCAGCACTCTATGGATATGTGCATGCAAGCCGCATGTGAGCGGCGTTCGGAACACTTGCACGCTGCGCGCACGCTCAGCACTGAAGGCGCGCCGATCCTGCCCCCGACGCACCAGCCACTTGGCCGCAGGACATACATTGACCTCCACGTCTGCTGCCTGCACCGGCTGGTTCAGAATCGCAAGCAAAAACGCGAGAGCTGCGACAGCGAGTCCAAAGCGCATCGTGGTGGCCCTTTTGACGACCATGATGATGATATAATATCTCTTATTTGTCACCTCTTAAGGCGCTTAGAGCGCCGGATAACGTGTGCTGCGACGATCTTGTTGCTCAGGTATGTTTGTTTATTCCGATGCTATAATAAAATGATGTGCTTATATGCCGAAGAGCACACCTTTTCAGCACTTGATGATAATAGCAAAGCTGTCATCCGGTCGTCAGTCAAACTCCAGTCAAAGTCGCCAACAGCCGGATTGAGGTGGTGACCCTGGCCACGAGCGGTGTGAGTAGGCCAACAGTGAAGACGTATTGGATGGGAGGTGCAGTCAATTTATGATATAGGGCTGCGGAAAGTGCTGGCTCTTTGGCAGTGGCATGATATTCATGCCAAAACCAAACCCCGCGACAAACTTTGACGCATCGCTAGCTAAGACATGGCAGACAAGCTCAGCCGCTCAAGGCACTTGGGTTCCCCTGCTGCATTCAGCCATGGAGGCGACAATTTACGGTCAGTAACACGTTCGAGGTTTGTCATGCGTGTGCAGCAGCTCCAGCAGGCCAACAATCCTGCTCATCCGTCCATTGCCAGGTGTCGCTTGCTTACAGTGACTGGACTGTGACGTAGCGGAAATGGTGATACAATGTGCTTGTGTTGGTTTGTTTTGAGAGGGGAGATCCAGGCTGCAGCCTGTGGAAGGAGGCCTGTGGATGTATTGAGCACCGCAAGGAGAGCAAAGCAACATGGACGAGACGCGTATCGCACATACCAGCAAGCACAGTTGGGCGCCCGTGCAACCATCCAGCACCAACAGCGGTGCTGATGTATGCAGAAGGGATGCTGCAAACGGCTTGGAAGTGGTGTCTTCAGTTGCAAGGGCAGGGGTGCGTGCAGGGGCGAGACGTACGGTGAACCCCGCCATGAACACTCTGGATGGGTGACTAGATGTAGTAAAGGCAACCTCCTCTCAAACCTTGCCATAGCAGCACAACAACATGATGACGTGCCTTTGGAACGTGAGGCCCCACACAGCGCTGTGCTTAGCTAGTGTAAGTAAAGGCCTACTTGCCTGGACCAGTTTCCATTGTGCAAACTCAATTGAGGCGGCAGCAAAACTGCCTGTGTTCGCCACCCGCCCCAAATGGCGCATGAAACTGGCTGCGAGCAGCTTCACCCCCCTGACAACCCCAGTGACAGTGTGGTTGCGTGTGTGATCAGGCAAACCACCATAATATCACCCAGCCTTGTGCGTGCCCCGTAAATTCATCCAAGTCCCGCCGCGGCCCATTCGAAATCGAGGCGGCGGTAGGCAAAGCAGCACAAAAAGATGGTTCGGCACGACAAAGCCCTCTAGCAAGTCGGGAGACGGGCAGCACGGCTTGAGCCTTTGGCAGAGCTTGCTTGTGTTGAGTGCTCCGGTGCATAGCGTTGGCGGACGAATACACGCCGTGTGCACATCGCACCAGCATTGCCTGGCAACAAGATGCACGACACATTATTGGCAATGATGGCACGAGGCTGAGAGGGCGCACATGAGTTGCGTGCATTTGACGCATGGACTGTGTGCGAGGCCGCCAGCTGCATCAGCCGCAGCCCTGTTGACGGTGGCAGAGAAATCACTAGGCACGGACACGAGCGCAAGGCCGTTCCTACGTTGGCAGTTCGAAGTTGGTTGCTGCTGTATTCTCACAGCAGCCCCTTGCGGAAGACCCATGATTGCAGACAATCCACTTCTTTGTAAAAAAAAGCAGCCAAGGGCCTCGGTGCCAACAGGGCAAGGTCCCATTGGGCCGGCAGAACTCCCTGGGGTTGCACAATTGGAGTATGGGCGTGCCGCCATGCCCTGCGCGTATGCGTAATCCCGTTCATAACGTGCCTTCAAAACCTTCTGTCATCGCTCTTGTTGCGTCAAGTGCAGTAAGCGTTTTGTCGGTGTCTTGCGAACGCAGTGTCTTCCACACTTGACCCACGCAAGAGAGGTAAACCAACTACCAGTGCGTAGTAGGACAAGTCTGTGTGCGAACCTGCAGCCAACGAACGTTCGTGGGGCCCACGCACCAGCCTGCCCGCGCACATGGTCACCGCACGAACAGCGTGAGCGGATGAAGGGGTCTTGTGTGCATGCCAAGACACTGGTCAGCCCCCGCCGATACTGAAAAGGTTGATGGAAACGTCAGAGCCCAGTGGGAAGCCCTAACTGCCTGCAACCTTCGTACATCTGCAGGGCATAAAGCTGCAAGTAACCACCAAGCTGAAAAGAACTTGCTTGCAAATTCTTTCTGCGACGCATGAGCATGCCGGTCTTCAGGGAGTCCCAGTGGCATCACAAGTACGAGCCAACATCTGACCAGACCACTGGGCCCAGGGGCGCTGCGACAGCGCCCCTGACGCCGGTGGGCGTCGGCAACTCGCAGCCACCGTACATCGACTGTGTTTGTAAAATCTCTGCAAGCCACTGCTGCTGTTGCTGTTGCTGTTGCAGCTGCCGCTCCTGCTGCTGTTGCAGCTCCTGCAGCTCCTGCTGCTGTTGAAGCTGCTGCAGCTGCTGCAGCTGCTGCTGCGCCGCCTGCAGCTGCTGCGCCGCCTGCAGCTGCTGCGCCGCCTGCAGCTGCTGCGGCGGGGGTGTATGCTGCTGCACCCCAAAGCCCACAGCAGGTGCCAGGTGTTTGGGCACGGCTGGTGGACCCAGGACGCCGTTGAGGTCCACCAGGCTGCACGGGAACAACAGCACCTCGTCTGACGCTGCCCAGGCATCAGGGTCGGGCGTGGCCAGCGCCTGCTGTGCAGGCACAGCACCGTGCCTCATGAGCTCGTGGGGGGATGCAAACACCATGGGGGCCCCAGCCGCCTGGCGCGCAGTGACGTCTGCCTGCAGGGTCGAAGCCGTGGCGCTGCGGCTGCTGGTGTTGACGTCCTGCAGAAGTGCGTACACCACACTCCCTGGCGCACCAGTGTGCACAGCCGGCAAAGGGCTGCCCGTGCTGAAGCTGCGGACGCTGCCGCCAACCACACAACTGCCGCTGACAACACTGCCGCCATCGCTGCTGGGGTCGCGCAGCTGGCAAGCCGTCCCCTGGGGCCCAGCCAGTGTGCTGGTCAGCGGCTGTCCGCAGCCGTGGCTGGCAGTAATGCTGCCAAGAGGGACAAGCCAGGCAGCGGGCTGCGGCGCCACCTGCGGTGGGCATAGCTCTGGCGCCGCAAGCGCCGCGGCGACTTCCTGCTGCTGGAACATCAGTAGCGACTGCTGGGACTGCTGCTGCTGGGGCGGCTGCTGCTGCTGCTGCTGCTGCTGTTGCTGCTGCTGCTGCTGCTGCTGCTGCTGCTGCTGCTGCTGCTGCTGCTGCTGCTGCTGCTGTGTCTGCGGCAGATACTGCGTCTGCTGCAGCAGCTGTGGCTGGAAATCCACCAGTGTGTCCACGTTGCTCATCGGTCGTCGCAGCACAGCCGACAGCTGCAGCGCCGCCGACGAAGCGGGCACGGCGTGGCTCGGCGCGGCGCTGTTGGCCGGCAGCGAGCAGCTGTGCGTGCCCATGTCCTGTGCGGCTCCCGGCTGCCTGAGCTCAGAGGTGTCTGCGGGAACACGGGGGGCACGAGCGCAGGGTACGGGCAGTGGCGCAACGACAAATCGGTTGATATTCCACGGGTGCTCGAGGAGGAGCCGCGCAATCCAGCCATTGCGCCTTCTGGTGGGGGAGCAGGCGGCACAGAGGAGGAGGGATGCTGCTTGACGCAATGCGCGCAATCAAGCCGGGTGCTCACCATGGGCGAAGAAGCACACTTTGCGCTGGCAGGCGCGCCCCTCGGTGCACAGCTGCGCGGCGGGACGGGATCGCACACAGCATATGATTGCAGAGGCAGGCTGCTGGCCTGTTGATAGGCGGGCGAGCATGCAGGGGGCGGCGGAACCATGGCCCCCCCTCCCCAGGATGCAGCCCCGCCCAGCCAGGCCACTGTTGCTGTTGCTGGGCTCAAGCAAGACGGCGGGGCGGCTCGCCTTTGTCTTGTAGCGGTCAGGGTGCAGCCACGACTCAAACACATTGTGGGCCTGGGCGCAGGGTGGTCGTGGCACGGCAGGGCGGGGCGTTGGCACACCTGCAGGCCGGGCTGCTGGATCCGCCGTTCACGGCTGAAGCGAGGACTCAGTGGCGCCCGGCAGGCCGCCAAGCCTGGTCCCCCCCCTTCCCCGCCGGGGCATGCCGCGTGCGTGTGCCCCCGCGGTCCAGGGGTCTCACGTAGGGGCACGAGTCCTGCAGCGGGCAGGGGTCGCCGCGGCGCGCGTTTGGGCACATCTCGGCGCTGTAGCTGTGGGCCTCAAGGGAACGGCGGCGCGCCTTCTCGCCGGCGTGGTGGAAGGGGCAGTCCTTCCTGCGAGAGGGAGGATGGGAAGGGTTACTGCAGGTGGACACAAAGAGCTGGCCAAGGCACAATCCAATTGCATTACACCTGCTGTTAATTATTTGAAACGAAGCAGTGGCCGGCTGGGCCGGCGGCCAGCATTAGTCATATTTGTTCCATTGTCTGCAGCAGGTGCGCGTCTATCTGCAGATGTCTGCATGCCCCTCCATCCCCCGGGCTGCTATCCTGATGGAGCAGGCCCTGGATGGCGGCGCACCAGCTGTGGTTGCTGCGCTGGGGGCACGGCAGGACCTGCCCGGGGCCGGGGAGGAGGGTGAGACATACACGGGGCGGGGGCATGCACGGGGCGGCGGGACATTGTGAGAGTGGATTTGATGCATGGGTGAAATCCCATACCGTGTGTTTGCTTTTTATGGTTGCAGATCTCCAAACTGTTGTGGAAAGGCCAAGCATGCAAGATGCGTGCTGTCAGGTGCACTGGGTGCACCTGCTTCCCCCCTTTTAGACGCCCAGCCTCGCGCTGGCCTCGTCACCTTGAGCCAACCGACACGGAACTCGTCGTCGGCCCAAAGCAAGGCGGCACGCCCGCCAAGCCGCGCCCTGGTCTGCTCTGCACTGGCTCGTACAGCAGGTGAGCCCGCTTTCTGTGCCTCAGTGGCGCCCGTCGTGACTGGCCCAGCATTCACCTGGCATGTCCGCCGTTGAATGGGTGGGAAGGTCGGCACTGCTGGCATCGGCGCGACAGGCAAGCATCAGACCCCTACCAGCGCTGTCAGCGTTCTTGAATCGCACTAAACAACCTCTTACACTCTTCTCACCTGCGGCTCCATGGACTCGGGCGCGTGCATCCTGGTGGACCGATGGGAGCTACGGAAACCCACAACAACGGAGGTAGAAGTCGCTAGAGAATATATATCCCGTTTCAAACGGCCCAAACCTGTGGCGATGATCGGAATGATTGTGCCTTCATGCAGGACGCAGATTTTGCGCATGCAGCCTAAACGGAACGTGAAAATTACACATATCAAAATTATGGTTCTATTTTGAGCGCTGGCAAAAACTTGTGTGGACAGCAGCACGTTCGTGACTGATTGTCACATGAGTCAAATTTGTTGGTAAACTGCCGTGCCCCTCCGGTGCCTGTATGTCGAGGCCGTGCCAATCTGTCTGCGGTGTGCAATGTTAGAGTTGTTGGAGAGCCTACAGACATGCATTTGGAAATGGCACACAGCGCCGTCAATGTCGATGGAATGACTTGAGAAGTGTTTGATCATTCCACGGGGGCCAGCGGGCACTTCTTACAGACAGCGCACTGATTTTGGCTGCCTGGTAACAGATGATTGAACATCTCAGTGACCGTAGTGGCGTTCAGCCACACATCACCACAGCGGCCCATGCACATGCACGTGCGTCTGCTCTCACTGTCAACTTCTCACAAGCTGCTTTGCTGCACCCCTTGTGTGTCTGTCCCTCCTTGCAACTCCCGCAGCATACATGACAGTTCTCACAGGTGGGACAGCCATCACAAGAACCCTCATGGATGCTGCACACTCGTGCCAGCAGTCACTTGATTGCTTCAATACGCACGCAATGCGCCTGATTCCCAAGCAATTGACTCACAATATGTGAGACTCTTGCATCTGAGTCTTCGTTACCAGCGCAGCGTGAGCCCTGAAATTTGCATGCGCCAATGTAATCATGACTCAAAAGTCGTATTCGTGCGAGCTGCATCAGAAGCTTTTGCACCGGTGAATGGCTTGTGATTGTTGGTCGCTCCTGGCCTGCAGGGGACATTCACAGGCCAGCCACTTGGGGTCACCTGACCACTGTCAGCGTGCCTGATGCTCAAAAAGAGTTTACACATACAATTGACAATGGCAGATCGTATCATCACTGCAATACAGCCATACAAGTGAAAGCAAGCTTGGCAAGGATAAACCATCAGCTGTTTCAGCGGGGTGAGGCACTGCGCAAGTCAGTCGAGGGTTGACAAAGCGCAGGCTGTATTCAGCTTGCTGCAACGCACAGCAGCATAAACGAAGCAACCAAATGGCCTTGCGGGTTGCTCAAAAGAGGTGAGCACGAAAAATCACAGCAGATTTTTAAGGGAAGAGGCAACTGCCCCCTTCAAAAGAATGAAGAAAGCAAGCATGTGAGCACCCCAACCACCTGTCTTTCAAGGCCGGTTGGTTGACCCAAGACATTGCTCACTCAAGACAGCCAGGGATGGCCGGAATTGCATCCCACGCTTATGGGGTTTGGTTGTTCCTTGCCAGGAGCCGGCACTGGCGAGTAATTGAAATTGGGCAGCCGAGTCATGCTGCCCTTGTCACGCAGCGGGGCAGGCCACCTTGGGCAGCTTGTGTGCGAGGCTGAGCACGCCCAGCGCCACGCAGCTGTCCACGCCAAACACACCGCCCTCCACGGCGCAGAGCGGCCGGTGCCACTCCAGCAGCGCGCAGGCGCGCATGCCCGCGGGGCAGGGCGCGTAGCCGGCCGTGGTGTTGGCGACGCACTTGAGGCCCACCAGGTCGAGGCCCTTGCCCTCGGGGCAGGAGAGGCTGGGGGCGGCGGCCGACACCTTGGTGGTGACGTCGGGCTTGCAGCACTTGCGGACGCACTTGGGCGCCGCCTTCTTGGCTTCGCTCAGCACAGACTGGGGCAGCTGGGCTGCGGCCTTGGCCACAGACGCGCACACCTGGCAGCGGTTCAAGGTTTCCACGCAGAAGGGGGGAGAGGGCGCACGGCTTGCGTCAGGGTGCAGGTCCTTGGGTATGTCTGGCTGGTCGGCATCGAGCAGCAATATATTATACAAGCAGGGTGGGGCGCCTGTCTGGCCCGGCCCATCCGTGCAGCAGGTCCCTGCCCCCTGCCCGCCAGCCCACCTTGTCGAGGTCGGGGAGGGAGGGCCAGTCAAAGGCCATGAGCCGGGAGCCAATGTTGACGAGCTCGTAGCCGTCCTTGCCCAGCAGCTTCGCGCCCACGCCCGCCGCCTTCATCGCGGCGCCGACGTGCAGCTCCAGGCTCTGCTGCGCCAGGTGCATCGCGGACGAGGCCGAGGCGCTGCCAAACTCGGCCAGGGCGGGGGCGACGGCCAGGGGCAGGGCGGCGCCCGCCTTCTTCAGGGCCAGGAGGCCCGTGATCAGCTGCATCACCTGGGGGGGCAGGCGGTTGGCGCGCATGCACGTGTAAGTGTGAGAGTGAGTGTGATTGTTTCAAGTGTGTGTGTGTATATGTGTATGTTGGGGTGCGTGCGTTGATGTGTGTCAGCAGTGGGTTCAGGCTTGCCCCCCTCCCTACTCTGGGGACCGCGTGCATCAAGACCTCACCTTGTCATCCCAGCAGGTGGCGTTCCCGGTCTGGTTGAAGGGGGCCATGCACACCGGGCCCACGAAGCAGGTCTTGGTGGCAACCTGCACCTTCTTGGTGCACACGCCGACGGGCGACAGGCTGTAGCCCGCGGGGCACGAGGGGCGGGGCAGGGCCACGTCAGGGGAGACATAGGGCGGGTAGCAGTAGCCAGAGCCTGGGGCCGAGGGGTTGAGATGGGGGTGAACAGAGGGCGCGCGATGGGTACGAAACGATGTGGGCGCGCAGCCATGATGGTTGCGAGCAGAGCAGGGACCCTGGTGGAGGGAATGTGACCAAGGCGGGCCACAACCTGCCACTGGGATAGTCTGGGTGGCGCAGCAGGGCCCGCCGAATGCTCTGCAGGCATGGACACCCTGCAGACCCACGGTGCACAGGGGCGCAAACGAAGCCAACCACCCCATGTCCCGCCTCGACCAAAGCAGACAGCTCCCCCGCTCACCGGTGCAGGAGCCGGCCGCAAAGTTGGCGGGCGCGGGGGTCATGGGGCGCAGCAAGAAGTCGTCCGCCAGGTCATACGCGCGGCCAGTCACGGCCTGAGACGCGCGCTGGGCCGCCTCGAGGGCGGCGGCGGCGGCCTTGGCGGTCGCGTTGGCGGCGGCGTTGGCGGCGGCGACGGTAGAGTCCAGGGCAAACCTCTTGACGGCGGCGTCGGCCTCGGCCGCGGCGCCCACGACGGCGGCGGCCTGGCCAACCTTGGCGGTCACGAGCTGGGCGCCTGCGGCGTGCGCCTGCGCGGCGGCACTGGCGATGGCGGCTGCCTCGTCCACCTTGGACTTGACCACTTTGGAGGCGACGTCCGCGGCGAGCTTCTTGGCGGCGTCGGCGGCGTCGGCGGCGGCCTTGGTGGCGGCGGAGGCAGCCTTGAGGGCTGAGGCCGCGGCGCCGGCGGCCAGGTCCTTTGCGGCCTTGGCGGCGGACAGCGCGGCCGCGGCCTGCGCGTGGGCGGCGTCCTCGACCGCGGCGGCGACGGCGGCGGCGGTGCCGACGACCGCTTTCTTGGCGGCGGCGTCGGCCTTTGCCGCGGCGGCGGCGACGGCGAGGGCCGCGGCGGCGTGCGCGCCGACGGTGGCCTCAGCAGCGCCGGCTGCGGACGACGCAATCCTGCCGGCCGCGGCGGCGGCGGCGGCGCCGGTCTGGAGGGCGGCGCCCACCTTGGCCTCTACGGCCTTCTCCGCGGCGGCGGCGACAGCGGCGGCGGCAGCGGCCTTGGTCTGGGCGAGCTGGGCGGCGGATGCGACAGCGCCCGCTAGATTGGGGCCGGGGCCTGCCTCAACCGTGACAGCGGCGTCGACATGGATGGCTGCGGCGCCGGCCTGGAGTGCACGGGGGGCAAGGGGATGGAGGAGGAGGACGGGAGGGGAGGAGTTGTCAGGGGAGCAATTTGGAGAGGCACGGGAGGGTCAGAGCGCTGGGTGGATGGTTGTTGCGGGCAGGGCTGTGCTGGGGCGATGGCTGCCGCTCTGGCAGGTGCTGGGCCGTGGGTTGTGGCACCAAGCGTAGCAGGCGGGCGGGGCTGCGGCTACACTGGATGCACTGACTACACGGCCCGTGCTTTGGGCTGGCCGTGCGGGTGACGGGGCGGACGGGGAGTGCAAGCGTGGGTGCAGGTCGACCTGCGGCAGCAGCAGGATCAGGATGCCCCCAGCCCCACGCTCACCTTGCAGGCCAGCGCAATTAGGAGCAGTGCTACCGGTATCGAGGAGCACCTCATTGTACGAAGATGTCGTGATGTGGTGGGATCGTGGGGTTGTGGGTTGGGTGTCTCGAGAGGGTGATCAATCGCGGTCCGAGACGACCGACGATCTGGGGGAGGGTGATGAGATAAGTATGTGTGTGTATAACCAAGCTGTGATGGACTTAAAGACGACGTGAAGCGGCAAGGTTCCGCGCGGTAGGTGCTCCAGGTGCAGCGGCTCGCAACGAGTCGGCTATCCGCGTGCCACACCTTCAGCCGAAGATATGTGACCAAGATAACGGAGCGTGTTGCAACGGACAAGCTAGCAGGGGCTAGCGGAGGAGAGGCCATGGCTCCGGGCGGTTGGGGCATTCATGTGCGCCCGACAAATGGCCAGTGACACCTGATGCCGTCACGAAGTGGTCTGTTGCTTCAGACCATGTTGGTCGATGCGCAAGCACATGCAGCACACCCGCAAGGACAAATGATTCCAAGTTGAGGCTCATGCTGATAAGAGCCGCATGAATCGCCTCGCACACCGCCACAAGCAAGGCCTGGCACCCCCAGCCTCAGCCTGTCTGCCCGCGCTCCCCTCTCCCCAAACCCGACGAATGCGTGGCTCAGGTGCAGGCGTCCCTGTTTTCGTGCAGGGTGCCGCCCGCATGCATGTACACACGCGGCCCTGTGCACCGAACCCGCGCACTCCGCAAACACCTGCGAACCTCCCATACAGACTCACACGCACGCCTGGCAAGCCGTGAGCTGGCGCTCCAGGATCACTGGCTGACCCTTTCCCCAGCGCCCTGGCCCTCGAACCGCCGGCCTGCCGTTGCGGTGCGGCTCGCTGTGTGCGCCCTTGCTTGTCGTGCTCCTCGGGACACGACGCACACACAGCAAAAGGGATGGGCACCGTCTTGCCCGGTCGATACCGGGCGGCAGCGCCGGGGACGGCCGGCGGGGCGAGGCCGGTGGGGGAGGGTGGGGCAGCCTATCACAGCCGAGCGAACATGCATGCAGCCCCTGGTGAAAGGCCAGCAGAGGTGAAGGGGCGAGTGAGAAGTGGGGAACAGCCCAAGGGCGGCAGCGGGTGATGCGCAACTCGGCAGCTGTGTTGAGAAGCTGCAGAAATCACCGGCAGCGACCCAGCAGCTGTGCAAGCCCCCCATCCCACTCCCACTCCCACCACTGACGCTTGCATTCCGCCTGCCGCCCGCCGCAGCCGCCGGCCGCCGATCAGCGAGTGCGCCACTGACCAGCCACTCTGCCGGCCAGCCACTCTGCCGGCGGCGAGTGGCCGAGTGTTGTCAGCCACCCGACCCCCAACCTCAGCCTCGCCCCACCTCCAACGCCCCCAGGCCGTCTTGAGTAGGCACGTGCCAAGACGAGAGCAGGCGCTGCGGGCGCCGTGCGGAGCATGGGGGCGCCATCCAGGCGCAGCTCAGCCAGCGAACCCCAGGTGTACACCCGACTGCTGCGAAAGGCGTTCCCGTCCTGGTATCACAGCCGGGACCCATGGCCTGCGGCCTGCTTGCCGGAAAAGTCTTACACTCAAAGGTCACACAAAAGCTGCTCTCTGGGAGATGTACATGCGCCATGCACAAAGCATGAAAGGCCCCGAGGTGATGCGCGCGCCAACGGAGGCGTACGCGCTGCACCAAGCGCATCACCCTAGGCCGCACGAATCCGCGACGCGCGTGAGCCGCGGCCACGACCGCGACCACTGCGTCAGGCCACCGCAGCCTTTGGCGGTCACGAGCAGCGCCGCCGCATGCGACCTGCTGTCCAGGGCTGCGTACGCGCCCAATTGGGACTGCCGGTCGCCCACCACCCACCACCAACCGCCAACCGCACCAACACCGGGCCAGCGCAGCGGGCGCGCCCGTCCTTCGTCAGCGGCGCGCGACCGCCGCTGCCTCCCATTCCCTCGCGCTGCCGCCGCCACCGCCGCCCGCCATGCAGCCGGGTCCATGCAGCTAGGTCCACACCGCCGCCGCCGCTGCCGCTGCCATGCGCTGCGGCGCGTCACTTGATGTACTGCGAGAGCCACCGGAACCCCTCGCCGTAGCCCATGCGCTTGGCCACTGAGCACATGTAGACCTCAATAGGGCGGATGTTGGGGTCCAGGGCAGGCTTGCCCTTGCCGGTTGTGTAGCCCGCCAGGCCCAGGCTGTGCCGCAGGTCGTCCTCGCTCACAGCGTAGGGCAGGTCGATCTTGAAGGGGGGGGGCGGCGTTGAGGTGGCCAAGATGAGGTGTGCCATGCGGGCGAGGGACGTAGCGAGATGCGACGCGGGGCATCCCGCACCGACGCACCCGCCCTGCTGCTGGGCGTGGCGGCCGCGCGCGGCGGGGTGCCCCACCTTGTTGCCGAGCACCATGAAGGGCACGGTGGAGAGGCCGTCGTCCGACAGCAGGCCGTTGAGCTCCCGCATGCTCTCGGGGAAGCGCTCGCGGTCGGCCGCGTCCACCAGGTACACGATGGCGTCGACCTTTAGGGGGGGGGGAG